AACATTTTCATAAAAGGTGAGCACCACGGGAGAAATCCGTGGTGTCGGTTTTCCACGTCCCTTAAAATGTGGAGGGTGGTTAGGCCTACTACTACTCAATTTTTGGTTTTGGTTTGAGGTGAATTGACAGTCGGTAGAAAACATCCCGGCTTTTGAGTAGTAGTGGTAGTAGTAGCTCCTAATCATTCAGTTTTTGAGGTGGGGTAGTTGGTAGAAAACATCCCGACTACCCGGATCAACTTACTAACCCGGAGGGCTTGGAATACCTTTAGGGGGTGTGCACACTTAAGGTAGTTGTTTCCGTTTCCATTGAGCAGTTGTGGTACCAGCGATAGTACCGGGGTGGCCGTACATAACAACGGACCACCGGGCTCAACCAAAGTATTGAGTACCGCCCTTCTAAATTACTAGGAAGTTAGTGAAAATTGATTTTTGAGAAGTTCAAAGAGAAGAGAATTTTGGCGTTTTCGGTATCTTTGGAATTATTATGATTTATGAGTTATATGATTGGAACTTTGTATAAGTGTTGTTTTACTTATGATTTACATAAGGTGTTTTGAAAGTATCCTTCTCTAAAATGTTTACAAGAAAAAAAAATTATATCAAATTATATTATTTTACGGGGTTGGGTGGAACTTACTTAGCATTATTGCTAATTTTTGTTTTCTTTTGTTTTTCTTTCTGTACTTGATTTTATACAGGTGATGATTTGAAGAAGTGGTTGATTTTGAGAGAGCCTCCGCTAGAAAACGTAGTTGTAGTAGTCAATGTAGTTAAATGATTTTGGAGTAATTTTAGCCTGTGCACTCGGTTAAGAGAGAACCGAGTGTGGCGGTAACGCCCCTATTTCCCTTTGAATATTTTTCCACTGTAAAACTCTTATCTTTTCAAATAAAAGTTATTATTTCTTTTATAAATAAATCATTCTTTAAATGTATATTTTGGGTGGGAAATTTGGGGGTGTTACAAACTCCCACTAAACTTGAGGTTCCTTAAAATCAATGACTCCCAAGTGAGCAGTATGCTCATGAAAAACTTTTGGTGGGAGATCCTTGGTTAAAGGATCCGCTAGCATGGAGTTTGTACTTATATGTTCAATAACGACCCTTTTATTCTGAACCCTTTCTTTAATAGCTCGATATTTCACTTCAATGTGTTTTGTCTTGCTCGAGCTCTTGTTGTTGTTAGAGTAAAGCACCGTAGAATTGTTGTCACAAAATATCTTGATAGGCTTTGAAACATCATTTAATATTTTCAGCCCATCAATAAAATTGCGCATCCATATTCCATGGTTTGAAGCTTCAAAACAGGCCAACAACTCTGCCTCCATAGTTGAGGTAGCTATCATATCTTGCTTAACACTTTTCCAAGATACAACACCACACGCTAGTAGATAAATGTAACACCCCGGCCTCACAGGACCCGAGGTAGTTACTCCAGACCTCTAGTACTATCCCCACAAACCGCCACTAGCCTTTTCCGCACACTTTGTCCACACTCGTGCGCGCCCTGAGAAACTTCCCAGGGGGTCACCCATCCCAAGACTACTCCCGTGCAAGCACGCTTAACTTTGGAGTTCTTGGCTAATGAGCTCCCTTAAAAGGAGATGCATCTTGTTCGTATGAGTAGTACTATTAATCCATTTATATTAAATCTCAAGTGTTACAATCACCCCCACTTAGGGATGGACCCGGGCCGGGCCGGTTCCGGTTCCGGGCCGGGCCCGGGCGGGCTTTTTTTCGGGTTACATGGGCCCGGAACCGGCCCGGGTTGATACCGGGTCCGGGCCTAACCGGGCCGGGCCGGGCCGGGCCCGGTTCAATGTTTTTTTTTTTTTACTTTCTTGTTATCTCCCTACCCCCCCCCCCTCACCCCCATGCCCCAAACCTCCCTAAAACACCCAGCCCTACCCTAGGAAAAGAAAAAAAATTGAAAAAACCAAAAAAAAAAAAAAAAATGAACCGGGCCCGGCCCGAACCGCCCGGGCCGGTTCAAGAAAAATAGGGCCCGGAACCGGCCCGCCCGACCCGCCAACACGGGCTAAAAGCCCGGAACCGGCCAACCGGGCCCGGTCCGGTCCGGGCCCGCACAGTAGCGGGCCGGTCCGGTTCCGGGCCGGTTCGGCCCGGCCCAGTCCATCCCTACCCCCACTTAGGATCGCAACGTCCTCGTTGCGCCCTTAAACCAATCTCAATCACACCCCAGAATCTTTTCCCCTGCTAAGTGTCCGCCCGATATCCAACGGATCAACACACTATCGCAGGGTTGCTCTGATACCACCTGTAACACCCCGACCCCACAGGACTCGAGGTAGTTACTACAGACCTCTAGTACTATCCCCACAAACCGCCACTAGCCTTTTCCGCACACTTTGTCCTCACTCGTGCGCGCCCTGAGAAACTTCCCAGGGGGTCACCCATCCCAAGACTACTCCCGTGCAAGCACGCTTAACTTTGAAGTTCTTGGCTAATGAGCTCCCTTAAAAGGAGATGCACCTTGTTCGTATGAGTAGTACTATTAATCCATTTATATTAAATCTCAAGTGTTACAATAAACATAGCCTGAAGTAGATCTACTAGTGTCTTTGCAACCAGCAAAATCAGAGTCGGAGTATCAAACGACCTCCAAATGATCTGATTTTCTATATGTAAGCATATAGTCCATTGTTCTCTTTAAGTATCTCATAACTCTTTTGGTCGCCATCCAATGAGCCATTCCTGGATTACTGAGATATCTGCCTAGCATCCCAACAATGTACGCAATATCCGGACGCGTACAAACTTGGGCATACATAAGACTTCCTACAACAGATGCGTAGGGAATCTTTTTCATTTCTTGAATTTCCATATTTGTTTTAGGGCACTGATCGAGACTAAACTTGTCTCCTTTAGAGATAGGGGTATCACCCGGTCTACAATCTTCCATGCCAAATCTTTTAAGGACCTTATCGACATAGTTCCTTTGTGATAACCTTAAGATTCCTTGTGATCTCTCACGAAGAATTTCAATTCCTAATACAAATGAGGCTTCACCAAGATCTTTCATTTCAAAATGTTTTGATAGAAATCTTTTGGTTTCATGCAACATGCTTATGTCATTAGTGGCAAGAAGAATGTCATCAACATATTAGACCAGGAAAAAGATTTTACTCCCACTGAACTTATGATATACACAATCATCTACATCATTCATCTTAAAACCGAAGGATAAAATGACTTGATGAAATTTGTGATACCATTGACCAGAAGCCTGTTTCAGCCCATAGATGGATTTTGTTAATTTGCAAACCATTTGTTTTGGATCTCCAATCACAAAATTTTCTGGTTGCACCATATAAATAGTTTCATCAATGTCACCATTGAGAAACGCCGTCTTAACATCCATCTGATGAAGCTCTAAATTAAAATGTGCAACTAAAGCCATAATGATTCTAAAAGAGTCCTTTGATGAAACCGGAGAAAAGGTCTTTTTATAATCAATTCCTTCTTTTTTAGTATAACCTTTAGCTACAAGACGAGCTTTATATCTCTCCACATTACCCTTTGAATCCCTTTTGATTTTAAATATCCATTTACAACCAATGAGTTTACAACTTTCGGGTAATGGGACGAGTTCCCAAACTTTATTGTCTTGCATAGATTTATACTCCTCATTCATTGCCACAATCCACTTTTGAGAATTTGAACTTTTCATGGCTTGACGGAAGTTGATCGGATCACCTTCCATAACACCACTTTCTTCCTCATGTTCTTGAATAAACACAAGGACATCATTCTCTGTATCCATGCTTGACGCATGTTCTTAAAGATATACAACATAATCATCCGGAATTGCGTATCTCCTTTCTCTAGTGGATCGCCGCAATGGCACGTTTTCTTGTTGCACTTGTTCCAGAGGAAGTTGAGTTTGCTCATTTTGAACAATTTGTTCAGTTTGGAAAGGAGGAGATGAAATAATTCCTTGTTGAGGTTCCTCATTAGTTTCAAAAGAAACATCCGTATGAATTGGTTCAGGTATTGAAATCAATTCTTCCGCAAAGACAATATCCCTAACTTTATTCTTCCCCCCAAACTCAACATCCTCGAAAAATATGGCAGTTCCCGTCTCAAAAATATTTTTATCCTCAGGATTATAAAATTTATATCCCCTAGATCGTTCCGAGTAACCAATAAAGTAACTCCTAATTGTTTTAGGTTCCAGTTTCTTTTCATGTGGCCCATACGGCTTTGCCTCAGCCGGACAACCCCAAATATGAAAATGCTTTAAACTAGGCTTTTTACCCGTCCAAAGCTCATAAGGTGTTTTAGTAGTTGCTTTAGTTGGCACTCGATTAAGAATGTAAGTTGCGGTCTTTAATGCCTCACCCCAGAGGGATTCCGGTAAGATAGAATGAGAAATCATACTTCTTACCATTTCTTTAAGGGTTCTATTACGTCTCTCAGCTACACCATTCATGCTAGGTGAACCCGGCATAGTGTATTGAGGGACAATCCCACATTCCTCTAGAAATTTGGCAAAAGGCCCTGGACGTTGTTCACCTGAGCCGTCATACCTCCCATAGTATTCACCACCACGGTCGGATTTGACTTTCTTTATGCGTTTGTTGAGTTGATTCTCAACTTTCGCTTTGTAAGATTTAAACACGTCCAAGATTTGAGATTTTTCATGTATAAGATATAAGTATGCATATCTAGAGTAATCGTCTATGAATGACACAAAATATTGTTGACCATTCCATGAAGGAGTAGGAAATGGCCCACAAATATCCGTGTGTATTAATTCTAAGACATCCGTAGCTCTATATGCACCTTTTTTCTTATTTTTGGTTTGTTTCCCTTTAATGCACTCAATACAAGTATTGAAATCAGAAAAATCAATGGAATTAAGTGTTCCATCGGACACAAGACGTTCAACTCTATTTTTAGAGATGTGACCTAATCGTCTGTGCCATAAAAAACCAGATTGTGCATTATCAACCTTTCGCTTAGTGCCTCGGGTGTCAACATTCAAAGCATTATTATATGAAGTTATTGTTTCAAGCATGTAAAGATTGTCATATGACATAAAAGAACCAGTCCCCACAATACTTGAATTTAAAGACAAATTAAACTGAAAGTTTCCAAAAGAACAATGATAATCCAATTTGTCCAAATAAGAAACAGAAATCAAATTCCGCCTAAATGACGGAACAATAAAAGTGTCTTTCAAATCCAAATAGAAACCGGTAAACAATAACAATCTAAAATGCCCAATAGCCTCCACATGCACCGCTTTGCCATCTCCCACATAGACGCATCTTTCAGCATCATTTGGCTTGCGGTGGCTCAGACAACCCTGCATAGAAATACTGATGTTAGATGTTGAACCGGAGTCTAACCACCAAGTATTTCTAGGCACTGAAGCTAAATTATTTTCAGTACAAACCAAAGCAAGGACCGTACCTTTCTTCACTTTCCAAGCATGATACTTGGTACAATCCTTCTTCATGTGTCCAGATTTCTTACAGAAGAAACAGATTGTTTCACCTTATGTTTCTTCTGTACTGGACCTTGAGCAACTTCATTCTTAATGGGAGTTCTCTTCCTCTTTTTACCCTTATCCTTAGAGGTACTAGCCAAGTGAGCACTTTCTGTCTTATTTTGTTTCATCCTCTCTTCCTCTTGCACGCAATATGAAATGAGCTCATTAAGAGACCACTTCTCTTTTTGGCAGTTATAACTGACCTTAAAAGGATCAAATGCAATAGGAAGAGAGTTCAAGACTATGTGTACGAGAACATCTTCTGATATCTCAATCTTAAGTGTCTTGAGCCTAGAAACAATATAAGACATTTCCATAATATACTCCCTTATATTTCCTTTTCCTGAATACCTTTTGGAAGTAAAGTCTTTTAACAACATGCTTATTTCCGCCTTATCGCTTTTAACAAAACGTTTCTCAATTTCAGTTAGGAAATCCTTGGCATTAGTAACCTCATCGGATACAGCACCCCTAAAAGATTCTGGAATTCCACGCTTTATGATCATGAGACTTAAGCGATTCGAGCGATCCCACTTCTCATAGTACCTTTTTTCATCTTGGGTACTAACATCCGTAAGAGAAGCGGGTTGCTCTACCCTTAATGCTAAGTCAAGATCCATGCAGCCCAAAGTTATTAGAATATTTTCTTTCCATTCCTTAAAGTTAGTACCATTTAGGACAGGGATGGAGTTGAGATTGGCAGATATGCTCGAAAAATTAACTGTAGAAAGAACAAGGAAAATGAACATATGCTTTTGTAAAATAATTTTTAACCCATCACAAGATACCAAATGCACCATTAGTATTTCATCTTTGGACAATAATACTAATTGCTAGTGGTACTCTTGTTGTAACAATAAAATATAACAATAATACATATAAAAGAAAAATCCACCTTTGGGTTGACTTTTTCTTTTAAAGTGCAACCTTATAATTGTTATATATTTATTATTACCAAAATATATATATATAACTTGATAAAATATTAATCTTCCTTTGGGCCGATTAATATTTACTTGAACTATATGTATTTTATTATTACCAAAATGTATATATATAATAACTTTATAAAATATTAATCTTCCTTTGGGCCGATTAATATTTACTTGAACTATATATACCATGTTTAATATTTTATATGAGCAACTTATACAATAGGATCACTTTGGTGACATATTGTTTCTATATACCCATTTTAAATATTAAACTTCCTTTTATTTTACAATTTCATCACAACACTAAAATCTTACCCAGTACTACTTAAAGAACAGCTTACGGCAATTAAAGATTTAATTGAATCAATCATATATAACCAACGGCAATTGACTTGAGATTGAATCAATTTGATCAAAAAACAACTTAATTCACAATATAACTTGATTAAAATAATGAAAGCAAATTAAAAACAAAGATGCTCTGTTGCCACACGTACAGTTCAATGCAATATAATCATGACATATGTTACATTTAAATTAATGGCAAAGAAAAAAATGGTGGCCATAATGTAGCAGTTTCCACTTGGTGGCTTGAAGAGATATACTACGTATTTAATTATTCTTTAGCATCAAATTTACATATATGCTAAAATCATACTGAGTATCATTTAAGCTTTATAAATTGACGGGATTTGAACGCCATGATTCATAATACAACAACATGTATACGTGTAAACATTTATGCTCATATAATTAAATTGCACTTGATAATTTAAATGGCATAAACGGTTATCACATTGCTTGAAAAATTCCACTTTGTAGAAGCTTGAGAAAATGAATTCAGTAAGCCACACCACAATATACTACTCATACACGTAACATTTGGATAGTTGACTGATAGCCGTTATATTTACTTGTGTTTAACATAAGTATTTATAAGTATTTGTTGAAGAAAAGAAGAGAAATCGGACAAATACCTTCAGAATGAGAGCTAAAGCATAAAACATTGTGGTGAACGGTTTTTTAGACCAAGAGGATGACGTTCTGCCCATAATTTGAGTATAACGTATTGTAGAGAAGTCGAAATCACTCGATTCGAATTTCATGTGAATGTTAACTCAATAAGGTACAAATGTTATGAAGACATCATGTACAAAATATGAAAGGAACAAGACTCAATCAACCAACAAAGTCAGATGTTGCTGGTGGGATTTCAGGATGCATACCTCTCAGTGTTTTAGCCATAACGTTTGATTGGATGAATAAAATCACGTCATTCAAGTTTTGGTGGATAGAAGACTTCATTATCTACAACTTTGGTGAAGGAATCATGTCCAAATTCATAGCGGAACATCCCCAAAATCCCGGGACAAAATTTGACACTTTTTGATCTATTTTGGAAGAAGGGAAAGGAAGCACATTTTTGGGCGCAACAACCGGCGCCGGTCAGGCATGAACCGGCGCCGGTCGGAAGGTTTTTTCGCACAAACGCCACTGTTTTCAACCGGGGCCGGTCAGCACACAACCGGGGCCGGTTGGTCCGATTTTCTGCTAAAACACAGCAACGTGCAAGAGGATTGATGGGAAAACTTCACCTTCCTCATCTCTTGATCAAATATCTCCTCCATACCTGATTGTTGGGCTTGAATAGACTAAAAGATGTCATTCTTTAGCCTATATAAAGCCTTCAATTCATCAAACAAACGCATTCCATTCCATAGATTAAATCATAGCTTTTATATTTTTGTTCTTGGTATTTTCTTCAAGTTCTTGAGGAGGAAACTTCAACCTCTAAAACCATTGGTGTTTAGGTATTATTTCCTTTGTAATTTCATGTTTCATTACATTTCATATTGTATTGTGATTAATATGAGCATTAGAGGCTAATTTCTTAGCTAAGGCTAGGGATGAACCCCTATGCACACTAGATGTTTGATAAAAGTTCTAAACCAATAAATTGTGATTTATCCTTTATATTTTGATTGTTTATGACTATGGTGTACAACATAAAAGTATGTTAAATTTAGTTTATGCTTGCAATTAACTTTGAAGTCTAAACTATGAACACTAAAGGATAAACATATATAGCACCGAGAATAGAAATATATCCGGTCTTATATGATACGGGTGTGATGTCTTGATATTCAACGGGGTTTTTGGTAGATGAATGTGAGCCGTAACGGGACTTACACGTAACGAAAACCACGTTCTCGCTGCCTTAACCGGAGTTGAGAATATATTAGCGACATCGTATTCATAATTATTGGGAAAGAACTATTATTAAATAACTATTAAAGCATTTAGGTGAATCCCGATTGCCTTAGTAATTCTCATTCTTGTTTAAACCAATCTCAAGAACAAAGTTCCTGAAAAATTATATCATTTATATTCTTTGCATTCAATATTCGACTTTATAATATCAACCATTTCCCTGTGGATCGACCCGGTATTTACCGTTATTTTATTACTATATCGGCACTTGTATACTTGCAAGTTTAGTCCGATCAAGTTTTTGGCGCCGTTGCCGGGGAAATGGTCTTGTTTTATAAAGTTCACAAACCTCAATTTTTTTTCTCACTTTTTCATGTAGTAGTGTTAGTGTATTTGTTTTTTAAAAAAACAAAAATGTGTGGTCATACTCATAAAAGTTCAAGGATCTAAGTAAAACTTTGGTCCCGAAGTTGAAAGAGTGCAAACACAAACAAAAAAAAAGGAAAAAAACCTTCACTAAATGAGATCAAGATGCCCGTTGTTGCCTATAATCCACATTTTCAAACTAGAGACATAAAGTTCTCTAGAGTGAAGTAAATATCTATTGGTGATGTGCTTGATAGAAGATTCTTGGAGTTTGAACGAACACTGAAAGAAAGCCTACAAACCGCCTTAGGAAACATTCTTCCTACACGAGAGTATGTTATTCAACCCGAGGAGTTCAATTACATGAACTCCTATGACGAGTGGGGGAATCATGGAGGTAATAGCTACTACAACTCTTCTAATCAACAAAAGGGAAACCAAGACAACAATTGGAATCCGCAAGGGAGTTCTTCAAACTTTCAGTCCACCGTGGAAGAGATGATGACGTTTCTTACCACAAGTATTCAAGCTGAAAATAAAAAACATTATAGTAGAATGGAGGCATCCGTTGAGAATCTCCATTCTCAATTTACCAAACTTGACATCCGAATTGAAAATCAAAACACAATTCTTAATCAAAGGATGGACAACCTCGAACGAGATACCAAAAGCTCCTTCCACACTCTACAATTGCAGATTGACCAACTTGCTCAACAAGTTACTATAGCAGGAAGTACCATGGTCATCACAACGGAAAGCAAAAGAGGAAAGGAGGATCCCAAAGTTCCGGAGAGCAAGAAGACCTCAGACATACTTGATGTACACGACGGGACTTTCTTGAAGTCGGAAGCTAATGTTCTCACGCCTCCAAATGGTAGAGGAGACCTCTTTTCCATTCAAGAAGGATACGCCAAGAAGAAAGGAAGACATAATCTGGACACGCCAAAAAGGTACATTTTTTACCCGGGTGATACTCTTCTCAATATTGAAAATAATAGCTCCGCATCCTCTCCTCCCCCGCAAGATTTTAAAAGAGAGGTCCTACTAGCTAAACACCTGCGGGAATTCAGCTGCACAAAAGAGGTACGTTCGTCCGGCCTATGACGTTAAACTAAGCGCTAATTGGGAGGCAACCCAACAAAAAAACAAAAAAAAACAAAAAAAAAACAAAAAAAAAAATTATCGATCCCAGCTCAGGTATCATGCAACTCCTACTCTCACAAGACGGTCCATTCTGCTATTGAAGTTTTCGTCCTCCATTGTATCCAAAAATGTACATTGAGGACAATGTATCTCAAGTGTGGGGGGTGCATCTAAGGGTTAGTTAAACAAATTTTGTGTGCAAAATAATTTTTTTAGGAAGGTAAAACTTGTGATAATTCTCTTTTTAATGGGTATTTGGTTGAGAAAGTTTTGATTATTCACATAAACTATCATTTTTTTTAGATTTATTACACTACTCTTTACTCTTGAAAACCACCCAAAAAAAACCTTGTGACTAGGAATACCACCTTCTTTCACTTCCAAAAAATGGTTTAAAAACATCTCAAATATTCAAGAACCATTTTGGAAAACAAGCCACCCCATATCTCATCAAATAAATTGGGATCATTAAAATGACTTTGAGTAAATACTTGTTGAGAATCCATTCAGATGAGATAAAAAAAACATGGTCTCTTCCAAGAATTTCAACCGATCCATTTCTATACTCAAAAGTCAAATATACAAAAAAAGCCATCCTACACACCCAAAAAGCCCTAGTCACAATCCACTCATCTACTCTCAAGGGTATAAGTAATTTTTCTAAATCTAATGATAGTTTTGTGTGTCTAATAGAAATTTGGTTTTGGACCGAGAAAGATAAAAGAGTTTACATGAGTTTTTACCTCTCTTAAAATTAAAATTATTTTTGTTCATATATTTTTGTTGAAACTAACCAAGGCATCCAAAGGTGAAGAAATTGCTTGAGGACAAGCAATCCTCAAGTGTGGGGGGATTTGATAGCCGTTATATTTACTTGTGTTTAACATAAGTATTTATAAGTATTTGTTGAAGAAAAGAAAAGAAATCGGACAAATACCTTCAGAATGAGAGCTAAAGCATAAAACATTGTGATGAACGGTTTTTTAGACCAAGAGGATGACGTTCTGCCCATAATTTGAGTATAACGTATTGTAGAGAAGTCGAAATCACTCAATTCGAATTTCATGTGAATGTTAACTCAATAAGGTACAAATGTTATGAAGACGTCATGGACAAAATATGAAAGGAACAAGACTCAATCAACCAACAAAGTCAGATGTTGCTGGTGGGATTTCAGGATGCATACCTCTCAGTGTTTTAGCCATAACGTTTGATTGGATGAATAAAATCACGTCATTCAAGTTTTGGTGGATAGAAGACTTCATTATCTACAAATTTGGTGAAGGAATCATGTCCAAATTCATAGCGGAACATCCCCAAAATCCCGGGACAAAATTTGACACTTTTTGATCTATTTTGGAAGAAGGGAAAGGAAGCACATTTTTGGGCGCAACAACCGGCGCCGGTCAGGCATGAACCGGCACCGGTCGGAAGGTTTTTTCGCAAAAACGCCACTGTTTTCAACCGGGGCCGGTCAGCACACAACCGGGGCCGGTTGGTCCGATTTTCTGCTAAAACACAGCAACGTGCAAGAGGATTTTGATGGGAAAACTTCACCTTCCTCATCTCTTGATCAAATATCTCCTCCATACCTGATTGTTGGGCTTGAATAGACTAAAAGATGCCATTCTTTAGCCTATATAAAGCCTTCAATTCATCAAACAAACGCATTCCATTCCATAGATTAAATCATAGCTTTTATATTTTTGTTCTTGGTATTTTCTTCAAGTTCTTGAGGAGGAAACTTCAACCTCCAAAACCATTGGTGTTTAGGTATTATTTCCTTTGTAATTTCATGTTCCATTACATTTCATATTGTATTGTGATTAATATGAGCATTAGAGGCTAATTTCTTAGCTAAGGCTAGGGATGAACCTCTATGCACACTAGATGTTTGATAAAAGTTCTAAACCAATAAATTGTGATTTATCCTTTATATTTTGATTGTTTATGACTATGGTGTACAACATAGAAGTATGTTAAATTTAGTTTATGCTTGCAATTAACTTTGAAGTCTAAACTATTAACACTAAAGGATAAACATATATAGCACCGAGAATAGAAATATATCCGGTCTTATATGATACGGGTGTGATGTCTTGATATTCAACGGGGTTTTGGTAGATGAATGTGAGCCGTAACGGGACTTACACGTAACGAAAACCACGCTCTCGCTGCCTTAACCGGAGTTGAGAATATATTAGCGACATCGTATTCATAATTATTGGGGAAGAACTATTATTAAATAACTATTAAAGCATTTAGGTGAATCCCGATTGCCTTAGTAATTCTCATTCTTGTTTAAATCAACATCAAAGAACAAAGTTCCTGAAAGAATATATCATTTATATTCCTTTGCATTCAATACTCAACTTTATAATATCAACCATTTCCCTGTGGATCGATCCGGTATTTACCGGTATTTTATTACTATATCAGCACTTGTATACTTGCAAGTTCAGCCCGATCATTGACACACCACAATTATATTATTATTTTATTTTATCATTATAATGGAGATGATGTGTAATGTCAATCCAAAAGCACCGAATCATTTTTAACAAAATTCGGTCATGAATAGGTAAAGAAAAAATATGTAGCGGAAAAAACAGATATGAATCCGCAAAATATCTCTCATCCGATCTCTACTTAATCAGCATATATGAAACGGTTCGTTTTCTTTAACGAATATATTTGAGCATAAAGAAAACCTTTCGAACATGAATTTATGATGATGTATAAAACATCACCGCACAACGTAACGGTCCATCCAAAAAACAAAACACACATGTTTCACAAATATGCAAAATAAAAGCTTCAGACATCCCAGATGAAAATCAATTCCAGTTATCATAACGAACTCATATGCAGTTCAAAAATTCCATGGATCTATAATGGTAGGCTCTGATAGACTGATACCAATTGTTGTATATTCATACATATATCAACAAAACTCCATATGCGATATATATATAAATATATAATAGCTAAATCCATATAAATCCATGAAATCAAATATGTATGAACTAAAATTAGAACCATACCTTGAGAATTCATTTGCATTATCACTTTAAGAAAACCCAAGAATCCAAGAAAGCTAGTAGGCTAAACCTTCCAATGCTATGTAGCTTATTAGAGATGTTCTAATCCTATAATAGATGGGATATATATAGGACTAGCTAGTTCAATATTGTAACGGTTGGCCCCTTCAATTCTAATAATAATTCCTTAATTATTAATATAATAATGATATTATTTAGAATAATTTATTAGGCCATTTTTCGTTACAATATTCATATTGTTATCTCTTAGTTTACACGCCTCGGGGGTCATAACCGTTGTATCACTTTAGTGTAATATATTTAATTTGACTCGTCACCAAAAAGAAATATATTATCCTGGTATCTACACTTTTATTATTTCATGAATAGCCACTGTATTATTTATCTGATGGTAAACACATTTTAATTAATTACATATTAGGCCGCTTTTATTGTTTTCCAACAGCAACAAACCACTCAAAATAGAGCACTTACCAGTAGTGCCTTACACGCGCCTAAATGTAAAGATCTATCTTGTTGTTTGTCATTTCAACATTCAAATGACTATTTTTCTCTTTTTATATTTATAAACATTACCTCTATAATACTCCCTATCAAATGTTGGCATCATATACATTAAATATTTAATACGTAATATGTTTATGCTATATTGACGTGTTTAGTAAGTAGTAACCCTTGTCTTCGAGTTATGAATTCGCGTGCTGAATTGTCTAATAATCAAAATAAGTAAGGTGAAAGTTACTTCTATGATATAATTGCATGAAGTTACTACAGAAGACAATTTTAACTATTTTTCATATAATTTTTACTTTATTTTATTAGTAGAATATATTGCTATTTTTTCCCATAATTTATAAAATTCGTCCAATTCAATCGTTTTAGCCATAACTTAATCATTTTAGCGAAATCAACCAATTCAACCAATTACAGTGTTACCAAATGAGTCATAATTAAAAATTAATTATTTTACCTTTATGTTACATTAGAAATTAAAGTTTAAACATATTTTTACATTTCACTCCTTAAACGCAGTCTTATGGAATAACACCCAAGCTATAAATTTTTTGTGCAATCAATCATTTAATCTTTTCTCATATGCAACCAACTTTGCACTTAATTGAAATCAAAACTACAATACTCCGTATTAATTAATTTAAAAAAATTGTTTTGAATTACACAATTTTTTATCCGCATACTTACGTTTGGCCGGATTAACTGCAGTCGCACGATTATGATGTTGGTGATTTATTTTATTGTTATATATTTTAAAATAGAGGCAAACTAACCGAGAATAGAAAGTGATTAATTATATCAATAATACTCTAAAATAGAGTTGTTATTCTCCACTTGAGAATTACAATTTACAAGATAAGGAGAAGGCTTTTGTTTATAGGACAAAATTTAAGCTCCTTTATATTAGGAGATAATTACATGAACCACAACATTATCATCTTGAAATCATAATTATGATTCCTTGTTATTTTAATAATGATAATAATAACAAATCATACAAAGTATGATTATGTCCCGTTAATCAAATCATACAATTTAGGTGGGGAGTTCTTCACTTTCGGCAAAGTAATTTTACCTTTCTTGCAACAAAGAGAGTACTTCAGGTTTGTTTTTGTAGAACTTGGAAGTGTCCTCTCCTCAAACCAAAACAGTGCTCCACAGGCGGCACAATTATGTGATGGATCACCCATATCACAATACTCCACACTCATTGTGTCTAGAAAAAGACATTTGAAGCAACATTAATTAATACAAAAGGAATAACAAGAAAGTAGTGTTCTTAACAAATATTGAAATTGGGATGTGAAAAAATCATAACAACATTGCACCTTCAACGTGATCAGATTCCGATGGAAGCACACATTGCATATCTGAAGGTTGTTCTTCACAATTGACATTCATCCTCCTCATACCGCGAGAAGAATTAAATGGCAAGTAAAAAACTGCAGAATGTTAACAAAAATTCCAAGACATCAAAACTTATATATATTAATTAACCTGATTACAATTGCAAGATTAAAATAATTAGAGTAAGAAGTACCATTTGTTTTGTCGACCAAAACATTAGATGAGGTATCACGATAAGGCAAGGGAACTTTGTTAACATTTTGACCAACATTTTCTGCCAACAATGTAAATGTGTAAAATAAGTTCATAATAACACTATATTAATATTTTTTGTATGGAAAATAACATTAAATTAAAATGCTAAACCTACAATACTTAATGTCAAGATGTGAAATAAATAAATTTGTGAAATTATTCGGAGAGTATTTAAAACCTTCTGAAATAAATATATTCATTTTGACTAAAAAGATATATGAGATGACAAATTATTTTTGAACGAACTGAGTAGAATTTGTAAATACCATACATTATAATAATTTGAAATGATTATCGTGCCTACGTTGCGGACCAACAAATTTTATGTTGACTTAAATTACATGAAAATAATGTTTTTTGATCTATGTTAATACTATAAAAACAAAACTATTTATTCAAACACTTTAAAATATTTTTATGGCCCAACTAAATCTGACCAAAGCATTGAATATGTTCAAAAGTAAGTAAAATCCACTAAATTACAGACCCAAATGTCTGAAATTTCGGATCCAGCTTAATACCTTCAGCCAGCCTTAATTCTACCTGGCCCATTTAATCGTACCCAGCCCAACCCGTTACATTTAACCTACCCAGACCAACCCTAATTATAATTACCCCGCGTTCCAACCTATTATCCGGCAAACCCTATTACCTTCCAGACTCTTCTACGCCTCAACTCCCTCTGCGATGAAGCTACGGTCTTCAATGCGATTCAACACCCTCTGTAAAAAAAACCCTCTAAACCCCATTATTCAGACTTTCTAACTTCTATGTGCATCGATGGATGACCAATCTTCTACGAAGAATATTTCTGGCAGCCGATGGATGCTTTGTGTTTCCATCTCATACAATCCGAACGATTGTTATGGATTCCGATTGAGTTGTCGGTATATTCCTTAATTTCTTCGATTTGAGCATACTTGTTCATTATGTATTCAATTTTCTGTATTTTGGTTTCCTATACAAAAAATATTTAAACATTCAATTATTTCGTGTTTCAAGATTGCCTTTCATGTTCATTTGATCATTTTTTTAAAACTTCCATTGCACGTAGAACCTGTAACAGATCTTTGTAGATCCATGGATATGTGGTTCGTTCATGTCTTAATCTCCGAGATCTATCATTATTTGGGATTTACATCTTTTTAAATCCATGATTCTGCAGTTCGTAAAGTTTATATATCAGTTTTTCGTTTTGATTTCGTAGTGACTGAGGGTTATACTGAGTTTCCTCAAAGTGAAATTTTCGGTCACCCTTTGTCACGAAATGGAACTACGTATGTGTTTAAATATATGATTTTTTCGTTTGTACATGTTTAAATATAGTCAAATACTCGGTTTTAGTACTGGTTTTAGTGTTGCTTTGTTTTACAACTAAAATGTGTTCTTTCTTTTAATACTAATTTAATAACTGATGTAATACTATGATTTAAAACCACATTTGTTTTTATAACCTAGTTGTCATGCGTATAGCTATACATGTACATATCTATATGAATACTTATCAATTTCTCAAACTAATCTGTTTTAAACAATATGGGATTGAAACAAAATTTATTTTTTCAAACTATGTTCCAGTAAAACTTAAATGCGTGGTTTGGGTTCTGTTTCCAAGGTTGGTTTCTGTTTTAAACAAAGTGTTTACTTTCATTTGAAATATATTAATACGTCTTTAATACTGATTTTAAACCACATTTCTTTTTAAAACCAAACTGTCATACTTATTCCTCTATGAAATCCTATTACTTATATAAATTGGACGCTTATTCTTTTAAAATATTTTTTCGTAATATAGATACACACACACACACATATATGTATATTATAGGCTAAAGGGTCAAATAGGCCCTTGAACTGACTTAAAGTGTTCAATTAGCCCCTTATATAGGAAGTTCTGCTCGGCCATCGCTAATTGGGGCGGTTCCCGGTGAAGTTTTTTTATGAAAGTTTTTTATCATCTTCTTCATTAAGTCTAGTTTACCCATACCAAATTTCATCTAAAAAATCAACCGGGAAGGCTGTCAAATGATTTTTCGAAATGTACTGCGCTGTTTAACTTCGCAGTTATCTTCAAAAATTCATTTGACTGCCTTCCCGGTTGAATTTTTAGCTGAAATTTTGTATGAGTAAACTAGACTTAATGAAGAAGATGCTCAAAAACTTTCATCAAAAAATTCCACCGGGAACCGCCCCAATTGGCGATGGCCTGACAGAACCTCTTATATAAGGGGCTAATTGAACACGTTAAGTCAGTTCAAGGGCCTATTTGACCCTTTAGCCTATATTATATGAAGACTTGATGTTTACAGAAGTAATGTTTGCAGCCATACCTAAATGCACCTTAACTGTTGTCTATCTGGGTCAGTTGGTAGGTGATGTGGCATTGACCATAGGCTTACCCGATTCTAACGTCTATATACCTATGTGACTACTTATTTTTGTAACAGCTTAAATCATTTTTTAAACTAAATATGATATTCAAACTGTGCTTCATATATATCTTAAAACTCAAATAATTCCTAAGTGATTTTATTTTTTAATATGAAGAATTACTTATTCAAAACAAAACTAAGCTGACCTACATATATATGAACATCTATATTCCTAGGTATTTACACAGATCTAATCCGTATTTCATACTGCTATTAGCACACCGATTATAATACTTACTTAGTATTTGTTTCAAAGTTTGTTTGTTTTTAATTTCTCAAACCATATGATTAATCCTTGGTTGATCCATTTAATGTTTGGTTTTTACAAATCATCTCTCATACTTATAATGTAACATCTATATACTTATTTTGATCCTTACTTTTGGTGTAACTCTTTAAGATCAATATTTTTAAAAAATATAGGTTTCAAACAATATCTGGTTTTCAAACTATGCTTTAATACCTTTGTCAGTGGTTCAACAAAAGCGGCTAGTTACATTTAGTACTTACTAGTGTAAAGCCCGGGGCAATGCCCCGGCACCGCCTCAATTTGATATGAGTTAAAATGGAAAATATTAATAGGTATTGTGAATTATTCATCCATTTCTAGTTCGCGTTCGCCATTGTCGCTCTTCTTCGAAGCTTTTCACTTCTCCATATTCGAGAGATCTAATTCAACTGCCGATCGAAAATGTCCGGTCGAGGAAAGGGCGGCAAGGGGTTGGGAAAGGGAGGAGCCAAGCGTCACAGGAAGGTTCTCCGCGACAACATCCAAGGCATTACGAAGCCGGCTATCCGCAGGCTTGCTCGTCGTGGCGGAAGCGTATTTCGGGGCTGATCTATGAAGAAACGCGTGGAGTTCTCAAGATCTTTCTGGAGAATGTGATCAGAGATGCCGTCACCTACACTGAGCATGCGCGCAGGAAGACTGTTACTGCCATGGATGTGGTGTATGCTTTGAAGAGGCAGGGAAGGACCCTGTACGGTTTTGGTGGTTAGGTTATCAGAATTCAGATGGCCAAGAAGTTTTTCTGTGTTGTGTTCTTGTAATTACAGTGAATGGGAATTTGGGAGGTTTGGTTTGGGTTGTTCTAGTTATTACAACCCAGTTTGGGTCCGTCTAAAACTTGTTCTTTTAAATGGTAATCACAATTAAAGTTCTATTATGTTCTGAAAAAAAAAAGTATTGTGAATTATTCATAAGATTCAAAGTTGAAATAATAAATTTTAAAATAAACTTCAAAACAATTGGCTTTCAGTTGAATTAGGGTGATCATTTTTCTGATTTGATCTGAGTGTTTCTGGCCTGGTCTCAATTTTCTGGTTTAATATGATCTGGTTTGAATGTTTTGGTCTAATCTAATTTGTCTTTTTGTCTTTCTAGTATAATTTCTAAGGATATGTTTTTACTTTTTTTCTCCTACTTTTTCTCTAGACTTTTCTATTAGCCATTTCATCTCCAAACTAATTAAATGTTTTAATGTGTACGTGGAGTCTACATTATGTCAAATGTTAGTTATTTAACGTTTTTCCTCCTATTTTTCTCTCCTTTTTCCATTATAGATGTTTCATCTCCTTTTTGTTAGGAACTAATTAAATGTTTTCATAATAATGATAATAGAATTTATGTTAACCGATAACAGAGTGACATGTCGGTGATTTGTAACTCTGTTTTACTAAATAAAACAATAAATTTGAATATTCAAGTAAAATTGGATTACTTGTATGTGTTACCACTATTGGGTAAATATGCACTTCCCATAATGCACATTTAAACTCAAATTTTACTATGAATTTGATTTATGTATCATTGATTTACAACTCATTTTCTACAATAGTTTTTTTTGTATATGTAGCTTGGTGTCAAATGAAAGATCATAAAATTTAGAAATTTTGATATAATTATGATAAAAATTGAAGTACAGATAAATAAGTTATATACAGAGTATAATACATTAAAAAGATTTTTTTTCATTCGCTTTATCCGAATGAGCAGTGATGCATGTAGTGAATAACAATGATGAACTGAGTCAAATTATATGAATTAAATGTTATAGTAGCAGTGATAATAATTTTTTATTAATCAATAGAACTTTTAACTCACTTTTGATATATAAAATAATAGATAAATCTTTTATTTTGTATGTATATATAATATTGGTGTCATTTGATAGATCATAAAAAATATGAATTTTGATATATTTTTTTTGTAAAAATTGGATTATAAATATAAGTGTTATATCACTTTAAAAAAAGAGAGTTTTTTTTCTTCTCTTGCTTCAAATTATGCACGACTTCATCCCTCCAGGGAGTTAATTAATTATTTGTATTATTTTGTGCCACTTTAAATTTAATTTTTAATGTAGTATGATTGGGTTGTCCGTATTAACCGGATGGTTGAAACACTTGAAGCTAATTTTTAGTATACGATTAGTTTTATCTATCCGATTATTCTGCCCATTACCTATTATTATCTGCCGCATTAAATATAGTGTTTTAATAAATTAGTTGTTAGCCAATAAGAATGTGACATGTCAGCTTTTTAAAACTGAGCTTTACTATATAAAACTATAGATTTAAAATGGAAAGTAATACTGATTTGAAAGAACATTTGTTTTTAAAACTAAGCTGTCAGTCTTCTATATAACCCTATGATCAAATTTTTTTGATTAACCAACACTTAGTTTTTACAATCAATCTCCCATGGCTATATTTAAACATTTTTATATTTGAAAACCAAACTGTGCTAATGCAGCTTAAATACTGTGATTTGAAACCACATTTCTCTTTAAAATCAAGCATTCATACATTTATCGATATACTATATTAATATTAATGTATATGAATAGTTGAATACTAATCATTTGCTCAAACTAATATTTAGAGCTATGTTGTTTATGCCACTTCATAGCCTTCTATTGTCTATCTGGGACTATGAGTAGATGATGTGGCACTGAACATAGGGTTGCCGGATACCTTGCCAGCCACATCAATGGCCTTCGGAACTGTGTGGTCCGGTAGCCCGCTGCACAGCCATCATCCTTTCTACCTTAGACCACATTGATATGATGATACAATGCCCAACTTTTATTGTAACACCGTCCCCAAATGTATTTACTTTTAAGTGAATAATGTATTGAACCTTATGGAATGGTTAATGAGTATACGAAGTTGTGAATTTTTATTAACTCTTTTGCGTGAATAGTAAATTCGCACGTGGGGCCCACACTGGGAGCGGGGACCGCCCGATATTCCCGGGACCATATATTTTATTCATCTTGGTCTAGATAATATTTACATGGTGGTGGGTAATTTATTTGGTCCAAAGAAATGACATAATGTGGACCGATTGATCAAAAGTGACTCAATTACCCTTATTGGTAATTTAACAGATAACAGCCCAAAATAAATTTCGGAGGCTTATAAATTAAAGTTGGGAAATGTATATTCACTATAAGGGTCATAATGATTGGAAACACATAATATATTTTATTTGACCCGATGAAATAAAATATATTTGAAAACAGTCCGAAAAATACAACTTTCGGGACCGATTGTACACTTCTGGACAAAAAGGGTTGACCTCCCACATGTGTGGGGGCCAACCCACGATTTTAGCCACCCAAATTGAAGGGTTGGCCGGCTGTTAGGAGTGGAAAAACATGGGGGAGGATTTTGAATTGAAAGAAAAGGCATCAAGGTACATGAGGTGGACCTCCCAACCCACACCCATTTGATCAAAGAGACAAAAACACTCCTCACCCACTCTCTCCCTCATTCCTGCGTCCATCACACACCAAGAAAGAACAAAGAGTTCTCCATCCTCCTTCCTCCATTGTTGAAGAGAGCTCAACAAGGAAGAATCTCAAGAAAAGGAATTAAGGTGCTAAAAGTGTGAAAATTAAGGTAATGACCTTATCATAACTCTCCTTTATTTTTTCTTCTATCATATGAGATATATATCATATGAAGAACCTTGAGGGATGTTCTACATAATTTAAGTGTGGAATAATAGGTTGGAGAGTGGTTCTAAGTCCAAAAACGGACTTAGAAGCCAAACCGACAAGTTCACCGGAAAATAACCTTTTAAAGGTTATTTGTATTGATTAAGGTTTTATGATGTTAAAGCCTTGTTAGGAACTTGATTAAAGTATTTTTGAGCTTCGCCGGAGTTTTGCCGGAGTTGGTCAAAGTTCACCGGAGTTGGTCAAAGTTCGCCGGAGTTGGTCAAAGTTCAATCGGGAAGCGTAGAACGCGCTTAAGCTCACTTAAGGTGAGGATGACCGACTATATTGCTTATAATTATTGGGTTAATTTCATGAGATTACCTAAATGAATTAAATGTGTTTGGCATGGTTTATTAATGATAAAAAGTGCCTAAGTGAAATTAATATTGTTTATAAGTGAACGTGCATAATATAATGAATAAATTGTGTATGATTATGTGTTATGAATAAAATGGCATGATAGATGTATTAACCATGAATGTTCATTGTGATAAATATACTTTTACCTCATGTAAAGAAGTCATGGAAGGATAAAAGTGATATTTTGATATTAAAGCCAAACTATACTTGAATGTGGAATTAAATTGAAATATACGAACTATTATGAATTTGCATTGGATATATTAAGATTAAACGACTAGTATAGAATTACTAGTCGGAAATGATAGTTCAATAGTCTTTGGGGATAATCCCAAGATATTGGAGCTAAGTAACCTTAGCTTAAAGGATATTTTTAAGGTGAACTTTATGAACCCAAGTTACATTAGGAGTAAGCCTTAAGGGTTACTCAAATGGATGGAGCCTAGACTAAGAAATTGTTTAGGATTAGATGACGTGACTATGAGCCGAGCTCTAGCACGTGGTAATATGACTATGAGCCGAGCTCTAGCAAATGTAGTATGACTATGAGCCGAGCTCTAGCAAATGTAGTATGACTATGAGCCGAGCTCTAGCAAAATGTAGTATGACTATGAGCCGAGCTCTAGCAAAATGTAGTATGACTATGAGCCGAGCTCTAACAAAACGTAGTGTGACTATGAGCCGAGCTCTAGCACAAATTAGTATGACTATGAGCCGAGCTCTAGCATGAAGGAACGTGAGTTGATTATAAAATAATAACATCCTAGATTGAGAGTCTTGGAAATTGAAACTTTGATTATATTTAGTATAGTTGTCATTGTACTTGTCAAATGCTTCCAAGTACTGACCTCCCCTTCACGGGGGAGGCCGCCTCACAGTTTCAGGTAGAATTTGAAGGTTGCTACCATCGCCGTTGCTTCGAGAGGATCCAAAAGGAGGAGACGTGGTTCGTGCTTCCTCCGTTTTCCATTTTATAAACATTTTAATTAATGCTCATGGATATTATTTTAAATATTTATTTGGGGGCTTGTATACCCATGTTTGCCAAAGTGTGGCATGAACACTTGTATTGAATGTTTTCCGCTGCTTTGAATGAATATTTTACATTATGTTTGTTTATGAATGTACTATGTGTGAACGATATTCCAGACGCCTTGTATAGTATGGATGTGTTGGACTGCGGTTGACTATTCGTACTGTACGGCGGATTGTTGATGTGTCCGGGTAGGTCCGGGGCGTGACATTTATCCCCAGACATTTTTCTTGTCATCAATTCAATAAAATTCCAGGTTATATATTCCACGATAAATTTGTATTTTGCATTATTACCTTGGTCAAATACCTCTCCTGCAGGCCGCTTGCGGTTGATTATTGTTGATTTGGTAAGCCTCCTCCTTTATATAATGTCATATACTATACGTCCCTGTATATCATCTCTATCAGGTTCTATCTGTGATGTCACATATGCATATTTAATTGGCTAAAACCATATAAAAAATGCATATTCCACATGTTATCATATTATATATTTATCAATGCATCCTAATCATCTTTTTATCTTAAACTTCTATGCACAACATTAAAATGTATTTTTGAAAAAAATTATCCCACAAATGAAAGTAGTCAGACATACTGTAGTTCATACACAAATGAAAAAGTGCAGTAGCAAAAATATGCATTCATAGTGTAAAACTCTAT